GGGAAGGGAGAGAGCAAGGGATGGCAGTTTGACACGAACCTGCAAGCTTCCCACACATTTGTATTTTCACAAAACGAGAAAATAACATAAAAGCAAAGGAAGCCTTGAACTTTAAAAGCTGGGCCAGAAATTCTACAATACAATCCTAAGCCACAATGGCGTCACTGTGAGAGCCACCCCACAAACCTGCAGACCTTGGCTTCCGCGCCTGCCGCCACGCCGGACAGGGAGTGGAAGCGTTTGTGTTTGTTTTTTTGTGGTGTTGCTTTGAGGGCTGAGATCAACGTCTTTCCTCTCAATGTGTTTATGGTTTCTTTGCCATGTGTCAGGCAGTGTGCTTACCGGGGGGAACCTGTCTCAGGGTTAATGCCGGTTTTTTCAAAATAACTGACAAAAGAGAACATCCATCAGGAGACAAAGACATTTGTGCAGAGGAAAGACCTGTATCAACATGAACTATGAAGAGAATAGTACCCCGCCTGTTCTTGGAATTCTTTTTGGGACATGATATTACCGTGTGGTGAGTGGAACCCAGATCAGGGCGCTGTGGACCTTTCTCCCTCCTGCCAGGCCCCTTCCTGGATGCCTTTCTCTATCAAAGTCCCTGTGAAAACTGACTGTCCACAGAGAGTTGACACATGGCTGCTCTCTTCCCTCATCCCACACTCCAGCTAAGAGACCCCACCAATTACTGTCATTCCCCCCATATCTAAGAATGCCACTCTCATAAGCTGCAGGAGAGCTGAGGCGGGTGCCTTTTTTGGATGGAGTTTCCATCAAAACACAACTGCAGGTTATTATAGAATAAGATGTCTCACTAAATTGTAAAGTTCAGGACTTTGTGTTTTGCTGTGAGGCTGCATTTTTTTTTCTCTTTTATTTAATTGCACACATCAGAGAAGTCAAGAGCGAAATGCCACACAGGCCTCAGCGGACCAACTACAATCCAGAGATCGCAAGAGTCTCAACCCCTCAAGTGAGCGCCCCCAGTTTCCCCATGAGAATGATTTCATAGAACTTGTTATAACAACTGAATGGAACTGCTGTGGTCTTATTTTTGGCCACACCATCCAGTCATTTGGGAGACTTTGTAAAAACCCCATTCCTCAGATCCAGGGTACCACAAGCTTTGGGGGTCAGAGCTGGGCCCCCTGTGGTTCTGACAGACAGTAGGGTTGAGCATTGCTGAATATGCATGAAAAAACTCAGCCTGAGTCCTAGCTGGGAATGCAGCTGTGTGAACTATTATTGGTAGTGGCATGCCCTGTTGTTGTGTGAACTCTCAATTATTGATGATAAGTGAGTGAGGACATCCGCTTAGAAGCTGAACAGAAACTTGTCTGTTTTGATCACGTCCTTTCCCAACATCTATTTGGACTTCTTCAAGCCAATCCTCTTTCACCCAACATCACTCCCAAACTCTATCCTTTGAAGAGGCAAATATGTCGTATTTTAAACCCTTTTTGTTGAGAACGAATTACCTGTGCCCTGCCTTAGTAAACAGAGTTGACTTCTCTTGGTGGTGCTGGTTGCCTGGTGGCAGTGTGTTTCCTGATGCCCTCAGTAGGCAGTGAAGGAAGAAGCCAAGGGTAGGCCTGTCTGCTGGGCCTCCACTAAGGGACTCCAGTGACGTCCCTTGTTCTGTGGTCTCTGCACTCCTGTCAGTGCATCCTGGGGCTTTCAGTCTCCTGCCTGCTTTACTCACTCCTGGAAGTACTTGAGTTAACATCCCAGGAGGCCTATCGTGTCCTGTCTACAGAGGCTCAGCAACCTGAGCTCTCCCATGGGCAGCAAAGTGTTTCTTTAAATTAAGGTATAATAACCACCTCGTGAAGTGTGTAAAGTGCATGAATATTGAGTGTTCACCTCATTGGTTTTTAACATATGTGCAAACGTATGTAACTAACACTCAGTGTAAAGGTAGTGAGCTGCGCACGTCCAACAAGGTAGCTCCTGCCCGGCCACGTGTGGCATTTAAATTTGAACTACTTAAAAAGATGTACAATTAAAATTCAGCCTCTCAGTCACACTGACCACATTTCAAGTGCTCAATGGCCATGTATGCCCAAGAGCTGCTGTCTAGCTCCAGAACATCCCGCCATCACAAAAGGTATTATAGGACAGTACAGCTCTGAAACATTTCCAACACCCCCACCTCTACCTCCCCACCCCGGCCCCCAGGCTCCAGTGCACCTTTCCCAATTTATCTCCTCCCCTCACCTCCAGAAGAGATCAACCTCAGGGCTACTTGGCTAAATTTGCCACAGGAGGTGTTGCCTACACAGGATGATCAGCTGATTAAATAGCCCAAGATGTCCACATCCTGATCCCTGGGACCTGCAACTATGCGACTTTACATAGCAAAGGGACTTTGCAGGTGTGATTAAGTTAAGGGTTTTGAGATTACCCTGGATTATCTGGTGGGCCCAATGTCATCACAGGGTCCTTACAAGAGGGAAAAATTGGTCATTTGTGGTCATATAGGAAACTCTTTATATGGGCTAAAGTCACTTCATTAGAGGCTCAAGAATGACTGCCTTGTCCCAAAAGACAAGAAATATTTTGGGGTCCAAACCAAACTCAACAACATCTCCTTCTCTCCTGGACACCATCCGTCTCTGGCAATTGGAGCCATCCACCCATCCAGAGCCCTGCACCCAGCTGTAATATCCATGCCTCACGCACACACGTCACCAATGTACCCAAACTTCTTTGTTTTGTGGTGAAAGAAAAATGACTCCAAAGTCTGTGTAAACCAACATTAAAACCTGTTGCAATGCGTTTGGACAAAGCATTGTAATATGATGGGTGCTCGTGAGCAGTTATACTTTTCCAGGAAAGATCATGCATAAGGAAGTTTAGGATTGCTTTCTTTGTAGTGGGTGCCAGAACACTGAATAGCTCAAAGGCGGAATGTAAATTGTTGGCACCCTAAGAAGTTCTGTGATTGGGAGAAAAAAAATGTAAATCTCTGCCAAAATAAATCACATTCACAATATAGGTTCTGTTTGATTTTAGATGTTATTTGTGGATGATAATGAGCCTACTTATTCTTTTTTTTCTTCTTTTTTTTTTCCTTCCAAAGATTTCATTGGGGAATTGGGGGAGGGGAACAGCCCTGGGGAATCGGGGAAGGGGAACAGACAAGTTGCTGTCGTTTTGTTCTTCAGTCTAGTTGTGGAGGACGTTGCTTCACTGGCCCAAGTTGGCACCATCATTGCGCTCTTCCCCGGGCGAGGTGGATCAGTCGCTGGCTTCTGGACGGCTGCTCACGGCGGCTGCTGGCCACTCACGCTGGCTGCTGGTTACACACAGGTAGCCCATGGCAACCCACTGCCACAGGGGCTGCAGCCTATGCCGTCGCCAGGACTCACGGCAGCCCAGCTCCAGGTTGAGCTGTTGTTCAGCATCTTAGCTGCAGAGGGCAGTGTCACTGGCCCTCATATGTGGGATCCGAACTGGGGCCCTCTGGCGTCCCAAGCCAGTTCTTAACCATCGCGCCACTCGGCCGGCCCAAGCCTACTTATTCTTTATCTCCCCAAATGAGATGGAGTGTCTCACTGCTCTTTGGTACACAGACTAGCATTTGCTTGTTTTTCTGTGCTGTGTTTCCACTGTTTATCTTAACAGTAAGGCAATGTTGAAAGATAACATGATTAGGTTGTTGGTAGTGCTGCATCTCTACCAGAAGGGAAGATTTTTAATTCTCTGAAAACAAAAATACTTTTATCAATTAGGATGTTATTCAGCATTAAAAAGGAAGGACATTCTACAGCATGGATGAACCTTGTGGAAGTTATGCTGAGTGAAATAAGCCAGTCACAAAAGGACAAGTACTGTGTGTGATTCCATTTATATTTGATCCCTAGAGCATTCAAAATCATAGAGACAGGAAGTAGAACAGTGGGTGCCAAGGGCTGGGGAGAGGGGAGAATGGAGAGTTATTGTTTAATGGGGATGACGGTTTTCAGTTTTACATGGTGGAAAGAGTTATGGGGATGGATGGTGGTGATAATTGCACAACATTATGAATATGTTTATTACCACTGAACTATACACTTAAAAAATGGTAATTTGATGTTATGTATATTTCAGCACAATAAAAAAAAGAAACCATTGCACACCCTCCAGAATGACCACAATAAAATGGCGGCATGTCCTGAGCAACCACTTTGGAGAACTCCTTAGCTTTGAAGATGGAGGAAGAGGCCCAAGCCAGACTGTGCAGGCACCTCTAAAAGCTGGAAAAGGCAAGGGAATGAATTCTCCTCTAGAGTTTCCAGAAGGAACCAGCCCTGCCAACACCTCGAATTTGGACTTCTGGCCTTCAGAACTGTGAGACAACAAATTTCTGTTGTTTTAAGATCACAGTTTGTGATTGCTATGGGCTAAATTGTGTCCCCCAGATTCAGATGTTGAAGCCCTAACCCCCAATGTATCCATATTTGGAGACAGGACTTTCAGAAGGCAATAAAGGTTAAATGAGGTCAAAAAGGTGGGGTCATAATTTGGTAGGATTGGTGGCCTTATCAGAAGAGAGAGTGAGTACTGTGTTTACATGCATGCACTGAGGAAAGGCCTTGTGAGGGCACAGGGAGAAGGTTACCATCTGCAAGCCAAGGAGAGAGGTCTCACCAGAACCTGACAGTGCTGGCACCTTGATCTTGGACTTCCATTCTCAGAATTGTGAGAAAACACATTTCTGTTGTTTAACCCCCCAGTTTGGGGTTATTTGTTATAGCAGCCCCAGGTTACTGACCCACCCAATCATTTGGAATTGGGAAAAAGGATGTTAGTCCCAGACACTGTTGCCTGGGAACTACGGAGTGGACATGAGTGTGGAGAAACAGAGGGTGCCTACCTGGAGAGAGGAAAGTATGGAGCTGAGAGAGGGTTGGGCAGACAACTTCAGTCAGCAGGAGCTTGTTTGGCCCCCTGAGGCTGCCATGCTTGGCTGTGAGTCCCATGAAACATTCCAAGTCCCTGACATCATACTTAAGCTTCTTTCAAGTGATTCTTTTTATTGCAACTGAAAAGTACATTGACTAAAACAATGATCTCTGTTTCTTTTTAATTTCAGAGGTTATGGATGATCAGACCACGAAACCTTGGGGAAACAACACTTCCTCTTTTTAAAGTCAGTTCTACCTATGGACTTGGACATAATGAATTTAGGATCTGATGCCCTCTTCAGTGGCCTGGAAGGATGAATGGACCTTCCGGTTCATTAGGGGTTGAATTGGGCGGTAATTGTTCACCATCGTCTTCTCTTCTTCACCAAGTGCCGAAAACAGGAGCTTGCGAAACGCGGCCAGCTAGAATGGAGAGCAACGAGAGTGAGCCGGGAGCAGGTACCGAGTGAACCAGCTCCCAGGTGTCCCTCATGTCTTGTGTAGTCCCCTCCCACATTGAATCAGGCATGGACGTGTGTGGCCAATACAATATGGCTGAGGTGACTCCTGAGCTAGGCCAGGAAAGGCATTGCAGCTTCCATCGTGGCTTCTTGGATCAATTGCTCTGGGAAAACCATTCACCATGTTGTGAGGACACTCAAGCAGCCCCATGGAGAGGCCCATGTGGAGAGGAACTGAGCCAACAGCCAGCACCAACTTGCATGAACCACTTTGGGAACGAATCCTCTAGCCCAGGTCAAGCTTTCAGAAAAACTGACATCTGACTGCAACTCCACCAGAGATCCCAAACCAGAACCACCAAAATTCTGACCTGGTGAGAGTGATGATTGTTTTCTTAAGCCACTGAGTTTTGGAGCTATTTGTTACCCAGCAAGAGATAACTGATATATGCTATACTTTTTTATATATATATATAAATGCTAAAAGTAATATTTGATTCACTTTTCATTCAAGGAACTAAAAGATTATTCTTTTATGTATCATCTCATTTGTTCTCAGAATATACTTAGGAGCTCTGTGAGAATAACACACATGTTTAATGAAATGCAGAAGTGACATCTTATTTACATAGTGACCACTTACTGAGCAAGTTAGATCTTCAAGGCTGGTGAAGCGCCCTTAGAGCTACACAGGACATGGTGCACACAGTCTCTAGGGCACTCCAGCTCAGTGCTCTTGCGTTGCACATGTTTTTGACTCTTAGAAGTGCAGCCTTTCTCTTCTCTTTCACCTGGCAATCCCCTCCTCACTGACCAGGAGGTATACACACCACCTCCCGAGTTCCCCTGCACAGGGTAAGGGACTTCTGCAGCACATTTTTGTATAATATTCATCCCCCTCTCTTAAAACTACCCACTTATGTTTCCATTGTCCCAACAGACAGCAGTGTACAGAGACTAACATCATTGTTTCTATATCACCCCCTCTCTTTCTACCCCATCTCACTTTCTCCTGCTGCAAACCTGACACATAATGGGTGCCTATTAATACATGTTTGTTGAGTAACAGAAGGAGTCTTGGTGACAAGGGCCATTTATCAGCCAAGGCCTTCCTCATGTTTGTAACAGTTACGGTTTGAGGATAGGGTATGTAATCTGCACCCCTCATCTCAAAGTTCAGACTTTCAAAGCAAAAGACATCTCATCTAGAGCCTTCAGAAAGAGCATAGCTGAACCAGAGATGATAAATACTACTGTGATTGGTCAGAAATGTCTGCCCTGGTCAGGGGTAGGAGAGTGACAGCATGCTTGCTGCATATTTGTCATCCCTAAATCTAAACTGCCCTAGACAGATGGGCTTTCTCCCAATTCTTGAGATTTCCAGATAAAAAGATATGACAACTTAAAAAAATGTATATAAGTAATATCTGCTTATTTGAGACAAAAATAGAATATTTAGATAAGGAAAAAAAAGAACATTAAAAACCACTGCAGGGCTGGCCGAGTGGTGCGATGATTAAGAACTGGCTTGGGATGCCAGAGGGCCCCGGTTCGGATCCCACATATGAGGGCCAGTCACACTGCCCTCCACAGCTAAGATGCTGAACAAAAGCTCAACCTGGAGCTGGGCTGCCGGGATCGCCGGGCGATGGCATAGGCTGCAGCCCCTGTGGCAGTGGGTTGCCATGGGCTACCATATGTAGCCAGCAGCCAGCGTGAG